AAGATCTGGAGCAAGCCATCCGGTCCGGGGTGCATAGTTCGCATGAAACTTGCCACAAACGGACTGTGCAATTGGTACATTTCCACACGTTTCGCTGGCGTCGTCACTTTAACGACAACTCGTCAAAGCGACGAGTCAAGTCAATCCGTTGGCCAACTTTCTGCTGAAACGCTTTCCCACCCTTGCCCCACCACAATGCCCCACCCTCTTATCACACACGCGCCCAATCACAACTTGTCACTTGTTCACATTCCACACATGGCCCCCCTCCCTTTCGACGGGCTCGGGCCTGCTTCATGGGCGTGTGCATCCGTTGCTTCTCGTTCCGCTTCCACCTCCCACCCCCCGAATCCACTCAATTCCATCCTCAGGCCACTCGTCACTGCAGACGGCATTGCTCAAGCCCTCAGCAACGCATTCTATGCCTCGCCTCGCAGAGCGAACCGGCGGGATTGTGATTATGCGAAGAAAAGTTGGGTTTCGAGGAATCTCTTGTTTCATAATTGTTGAGCTTTCTTCCATTTCGTGTGAAGAGATTTGAAGGTCGCTTCAACCAAAAGATGACGACCGATTCCTCTTGACCACCTGTCGATTGGCTTCACTGGAACATTCATTGGATTCCGGTGAAAAGGGGCTAAGCTTTCGTCTGTCATATGACGGACATCAACAGAGCAAAGTATCATCTTCACAAACAAATTCAACTAACGAGTCGAGAAAACTCCTTTTTTTTGTTTTTTGGTCTTAATGCGAGAGATCAAAGAGGCCAGAGGTAGAGTATGTGTACCACTTTTTCGGATTTGCCGGTGAGTTTTCTTGACTCGTTTGCTTGAATTTGCTTGTGACGTGGATACCTCGCTCTGATGATGTCCGTCAAATGACGGATGAATGGAATGGAATATAATCGAAGTTGATAGACTTGAATAGATTATAGATACGAAGACAAACTTGGTTTCGATGAATCTCCTGAGATAACATTGTTAGGGGGACCTTCATTTCGAATGAAAGTACATGAAGAAGAGAGTCGTTTTTCGATCTCACCAGATGAGGACGGATGAAAATCGTTGTACTGCAGCATTCAAGCTTTTATATTCTACTCATGTTGACGCAGTCCA